TTGGCGGTCGCTCGGTCCTACGTGTCGTCCTATTGAGAGCCGTCGCTCATATTTTGCCCCTCATATTTTGTCCCACTTGTCAGGTGAACAAAATACAAGAAGCAGCAAATTCAGATGCTATCATCAAATTCATATAAATGACACACGCTTCTTCAGAATTGTGTGTATTCACTTGTATTGTTCTTCATTTATCTTGTAGAAAATACAAAATAGTTAAATGGCCCACATTGAACATGTTTTCTTTCATGAAATTACATATTCTAAAGGAATTTGTTGAACTTTTTATTCAAACGAGTTGTAGACAACATCACGTAATCCCCTGCCCCCACCACACGCACGCACACACACACACAGGGGGGGGTGCGCGCACACGTTGCCCCACTCACATTCAGACACTTGTGGCGGCGGCCTCTCATTAGTGCTGTGAAAGGGCCTAATTGTAGGGAGTTAAGGACAAAAAAGAAAGAGAAAAAGCTGCACTCGTCCATTCATTTGTGCAGCCGTAGCAAGGACACCAACATACAAACGAGCGCGCAGTCGTCATCGCGTGACGTGACTTCATGCGAAGCGGACTCATCGTTCAACTCACTCCGTAAAAGTGAACCAGTCAAAATAAGCTTTATTCGTTTGATTTTGTTTGCTCAGTGTTGATTCTTGATGACGCTTTGACTCATTAGCATGTCATGCTAGCATCTTATGCCACTGTTTGTTGTCAAAATGTGAGCGGGCCGCCGAAGAGGAAATGCAATTGAGCCAGGACAATTATTGCTCTGGTTTATGTCTTGAACTAGTCCACGAGTCTGTTCTGTGCAGAAAGAATGCCACTGACATCATCGACAAATTGACTTCAACTCAACTGTGGTCACGTCACACTGTAGTCGACGACATCAAAAATCTTTCGTGCATCTCTTTGTTAGCAAGTTGTACAAAAAGTATGGAAACCTTAAGTGGTTGCACGTTCAAAAGTTTCCCAGAGGTCGTTATGTTCACCTGTGAATTGTGTTTTGGGTTGGTCCTGAAATTTGGCCCCAAATCCTCCCTCACTTTTTGTGGGTTGTGTGGATTCTTGTCAAAGTCGTGGCTTTCTGTAGGCTAACCCCCAAACAGTTGTTTTTCCGTGTTGTTGCCGTCTGTTGGCCTTGGGTGCCCTGCAGCACTTTGGAGTTTTGCATAGCTAACTGTGCAGCGCACGCACCTTCTTGTTGGTGCTTGATGATGACAAAAAAAAGAAATGTTGACATTCATATCCACTTTGCTGGATTCTTTATCGCCGACCGTATGGAAGAGGTGATCGAATTCTGAGAAAATGTTTGATTTTGTTGTTCCAAGGCTCTCTCGCGTCGAGAGGTGTTTGTGAGTATCTGTCAGAGTGTGTGTCTGTTTGTGTGTGTCTGTATGTCTGTCCCTGGTCACTTCTCAGGGTCTTCTGTTTTAAGAGTCAAGCGAGTTGTGTTCCACACCTCCCCCCTTCCACCTTCATGTCAACAAGAGGCTCGCAAACACCTGGCGGCCTCGCAGTCAGCCTCGCTTTGGCACCGCCCACTCCCTTCTGACTTTTTACCTGAGCAATTAAAGCAGATGAATGGAGGCCCACGCGTGCGTGTTGAGCTCCACGTCCTTTTATGTAAAGGCGTGTTTGCCCCGGCGTGTTTACCGTCACTCGCCAATGGCGGGCGGCGTACAAAATGGCCACCGCATCTGTCAAATGCTCCAAATAGGCCACAATGGGCCTCGTTGACGGCGCCACGTTTAGGGAGCGGCCGTGTCATAATAGCCCCTGATTTGGCTTTTGTGGAGGCTATCTGCGCACATCTGTGAAGTCGGCGTACAGGTGGGCGCGCGCAGCCGGCTGATTGGTCGGCGGGGGGCAGCGCGTGCCTCTGTCAGGAGCTTGCGGTTTGTGGCGAGGCCACGAGAGTGGCGGCGACGTGTGAATGTTTGTTTTGCCTTGCCACCACACGCACGCTAATAAGCACTCACGCACGCACGCACGCCTACAAACAAATACACAATTACACGAACACTCAAACACACACCGTCACACACCTGCACAACTCCCCTCGCACACTCTCAAACACACACACACACACACTCTCTCTCTTATTGGTACCCATTCACACATTTGCCCTCGTATGCAGTCTCTCACACAGACACTCTCATACGAGCTCACACTCGCAATATTAATAATAATAATAATGATGGTGATGTCACTTGTTTGGTTTTCTTTCGTTTCTGTGAATTGGAGATGCACGTCAATGAAATGACACAATGTGTGTGAGCGTCGGATGGGGACCAAATCTGGCGGCGACCTCGTGTGAACACTGGCTGCGGTCAATTGTCTTCATCACATCCTTTTGGTGGAGGCCGGGGGGGGTTGCCAAAGTAGGCCGGTGACATTCTCCCGCTATTAGAAATAAAAAGAGTGGAGAGAAAACGTGGGGTGGGGGTCGCTCGTGCTGAATGTGAGCTTTGTTGAAAGGCATTGTGGGACGCTTTGGATACAGTGGTGATGAGGAGCCACAAAACAAAAGTCTGGGGTAAAGCGGGAGCTGTGCGTGCACACACGCACACGCACACACACACACACACACCAACAACGTGAGCAGGCTCCAAACAATAGCGCGCTATTGTCCACTTCCATGGCTGTCTTGCGGGCGCTCGTGTAAGTGTTTTTGCGTGTGTGTGTTTGAGTGAGTTCTGTACGTGCGTGCATGCGAGTGAGCGGGAATGAGAGTGTCTGTGTGAGAGTGCGTGCAAGCGCAAAAGCGTGTGAGCGAGAATGTCTGAAAAGTGTGAGCGCACCTGAGAGTGTCCGCGAGTGGGGAGCATCGTGTGTTTTGTGTCTGCCCGTGAGTGTGCGCGCGCGCGCGCGCAGCCGCAGGAGGTGGAAAATCAATCCCAGCCAGCGCGTGGGAGCATTTGTCCTGTTTTTCATCTGTCGTGCTGCCGTCCATGAGCAAGCGCTCAATGAGCCGCTCATGATGGACAACATCCAAAAAAAAAAAAACACCAACAATCCTGGTTTGCAGTTTAGGTTTGTTTTGACCTCGACACTGTCATGTTTTCATTTTTTTCTTGAATTCGCTTCCTTGTTTTCTAGGAATTTGCCATCAAGTTGCATTTCAAGTGGAAAGACATCACATGACGTGACACTTTTATGTGAGTAAACAGTTTGAGCGAGGATCTGGCTGCCTCCAAAGTCAAGTTTGTCACATTGTCCCGTTGTTTTCCATTCACCTAACACGTCACGTCCACACTGTCGCTTCTCTCCTGTTACACCAAATACACGCGCGCGGGTTCTTTTGCGTCGCCAGAGGTTCTAAGGACCCCAGAGGTGTCTCCAGCCATGCCTGCATGATGGCAAAACAAACGCAAGGATCACTGAAGTCTCGGGTTACAGATTGCCAGTGTCTTTCTCGCCCTCTTTCAGTCTCGTCTTTCTCCATCCAGTCGTCTGGCTGATGAACATTTTCTGCTCTGCTTGACAGCAAAGGCGCAACCTGTGCTGCTGCTTGGGGGGGGCGCCAAGGAGAAAAGGCGTCAGGCGTTGGAGTGGAATCAGATAAGACTCTCAGGCGGGAGCTTTTTCAGGCCGGCTTTGTCCCGCCGCCGGTCCTCCCTCAATCTCTCACTCCACTGCACCTTTTGTGGCCGCGGCCCCCACCTCTTCGCCCACCAAAAAACAAAAATACGGTGCTGAGGGCCAAGCAGGTAGTCGCGAGTTAGCTCCTCGGCATTTTAAAACCCAGCTGACCTTGGAGTTATTTGCAAACAGATGCCGGAGCGTTCTTTTTTTTTTTTTTTGGAATCCATCAAGCTTCAACAAGTCAAGTTGACTGCACGCCAATGTCGCACTCTGCATGACAAAGGCGGAGGCCCGCTTTGGATGAGAACTAAGCTGATAAATGGCCCGAGCCGCACAAAGCCCGGCGGTCCAGAGGTTTAAGTCAGACGCACCGATATCAACTCGGGCCTCCCCTGCCCCCCCCACGCCCACACCACACAGGCCCTGAATGCCGCCTTTATGCAGCACAGTCACTCTCATCTGCTAAATTGAAGTGGCAGCAGCTTAAAAGCCAAAAGCACGTCCACGCGTTCCCCCCCCCTCACCCCCTTCGTGATTGTCACTCTCTCACTCATTTTCGCGAGTTTTCCGAGGATTCCAAGAGCCACGACTTGGGCTGAAACGGAACATGGTGCAGAGAAGGCCATGATCGTGACGAAAGGTATTGAAGGCCACGGCAAACGTCGAGTGATCCTTCAAGGGAGCTGCTATGGCTCGCTTCATAGACGTTGGCTTGAGCAGTCAGAACCGAAGCTTGGTCGGTCACTGGGGCGGAGCCTTTGAAGGCTTTTGGAGCTCAAGCCGACTCGCTCGGTCGAGCCGGACCTGCGAGCTCACGTTCCTCAAATGTGGCAAGTCGGTGTTCCGGGGCAAATCCCGTTTGCGCTGATGCATTCAGGTCAAATTTAGCGTGGGGGCGGGGGGTGAATTTGAATCCGTGTTCCAACTGCACCCGAGCGCATTCGCAATGAGCTCGCTGGGCTTCGAGCGAACACTTTCAACACGCTCGGCGAAATGGAGCTCAACAGACACCTAATCTACTTGATGTCTCATGAGTTCAACTCCGCTGCAGGCTATGTCGTCACAAAAAGTCATTTCGGCAAACCACTTGAGCTCTCTCAGCTCAAAATTCTCGATGGAGCTTTAAATGTGTTTTCTGTGTGCGGTTTATGAGACAGTCACCTTGCGCATGCTTCCTAACTTGTTCCCGATTGGGGAGCAGTCGCAAGTGTCTGCTAATGAACTGAGCCGCCATTGTATGGCTCTCTTTGGGCCTCCCGCGTTGAAGATCATGAATGAATTACCATATTGATGATGTGCTTTCCCTTTTGGGAATTTCATCATGAATCTTTGCCGCGGCTTCCCCTGTGACTCCTCCGACATCTATTAAGCTCCCTTTACAGAAGGAACTCTTCACCCGGCCGCGCACGCACGCGCACAGACCCGCAGGCCAACTGGACCCGCTCCTGTGAACCGCGCGCCCCGCATTGTCCTGCCTGCCTTCCTGACCCCACGTCGGCCAGAAGGGGACCATTCAGCCCCTCTCATGCGCCCGTATCCAAAGAAGTTTGCCGTTCCCGTTCGTTTGAACATCTGTCTGCCGTCTTGTTTGCCGTTGCAGCTTGACTTTTTGGCAAGGTTCTGCATCTTCAGTTCGGAGAAGCTGCAAGAGTACAAGGCGGCCTTTAAAGCAGTATGTCGAGCAGAATAATAAGTCAACCCCTTGTATGAGTAAAAGTATTGGCACCCCTCCGATGGAATGTCGCATGTGTGTTTGCAGGAAGACTCCGACGCCGATGGTTACATCTCGTGCATCCAAGTGGTGGACGCCCTCAAGCGAATTGTCGCGGCCGAGCTCCTGTCTGACGAGGAGGAGATCGCCGGGATGGAGTGAGTGTCTGACCCCAACGTAAATATTAACAACACAAGTGTGCGTTAAGCATGTTTGTCGTTTGATGTCTTTCTTCACAACTGGCTTATTTAAAAAACAAAAAGGTCCCCCATCAAAGCTTCTGTATACGTTTAATTGACGAGTCATTCTTGAATTTTAAGAGGTTAGAATCTGGTGAGGTCAAGTATACACTCACAGCACTTGACAATCTCATGTTTGTCATCATCGTGCTGCCCCCCATTAGTGTGACATTCCCACACACGGCGCCGTCTTCCTTCCCGGGGGCGCTCGGCGGGCTCCTCGCCACCCGATCGCGGGGTCAAGGCCCGCTCCCGGTGCCCTGGCCCCGCCATGAGGGGTTCCCACTCAGCCAGGCCCAAGATTTACGGCCGTCTCATTGTCGCGGCCACTCGGCGGATTTGAAAGATCCACGCGTTGCGAGGAGATGAGCGCCGATGATAGCAAGCAGGAGGAGAACAATAGCATCCTTCTGCCGCCTGGCCGTGTCCCTATCCGATCCTCTTACCTGCGGCCCGGGCTAATCCCGCTGCCTCTAATCCCGCTTTACGTGCGAGCTGCAACTGTACTTACACAATCGGCCTTTTCTTTCACGCTCGCCGCCCTTTGAAAGCTGATAGGGTGTCTCCAATTTGCATTGATTATACCCGTCAGATGCCATAAAAAAAAAAAAAAAAAAAAAAACGCCTGCCGGGAGGGGAAAAAAAGTGTTCAGAGGGCCGCGCAGTCACAAAAACTTCAAAGGGAGTGAGCACAATAAGAATACTGTCAATCAAAGCTCAACGGTATGCAGAAATAACAAAATACAAGTGTGAACAACAGCTCAAATTGTCAGCTACACACTACACGTAGCAAAAATCAATCTACACGTCTGAATAAATAGGCAAACTTTCCAACAATAAAGAGATCAAGTGAATGGGAATCGTAGCTAGAATAGTCATCAGCATTGTACGGAGCAAAAATATTTCCCTTTCTATCCCGCTCACCGAACCTCCCAGAGTGCCACATTGGGGCGGGTCGACTCACATAACCTCCCTTCCCAGCGTGCCCTCAACCAAATATGGTAACAGGAAGTGTTTGTCATCAGTGCCGACGGGCGCCGTGGTTCAAAGTAGGTCACAAGACGCTGGCGGAGGCCGCCAAAACATTTTCGGGAGCAGCTCTGCTGTGTTAGCCCACCAGGAGGCCTGGAGAGGGAAAATGGCTTGGTTCGCTGTGAACGCGTGCACACACTTGCACGCACATGACACCCCCCGCCCGGTTTGCGCGAGCCATTGCCATCCCAGTGTTCTCGGTGCACAGGAGCATTTGGACTCTTGTACCACGAACCAAGCAAAAAAAGAGCCCGCCACACCACAGCCAATCACGACGCAGGAGCGTTGAGGCGTAGCGTGCGCTCGCCGGCCCGCGCTCGCCCATTCTTTTGCATCCAGCCGGGAGGGGCTTGCTCGGACATTCCGATTCTTTATAGCGGCCCCCTCGCCTCCAAAAGATGATGATTCAATTATTTCAATTTTCCGGTGAAATGATTGAAAATAAAAGATATCTATTTTCTATTTATTATTCTTTTTTTAAACTCCATATCATAACATTGCTGCGTCTCCATACTTTTGCCCAAACCTGCCATGTTTTCACCGAATCGCCCACTGTTGATGACTGTCCGCCGGACCTACTTTTTGGTGTCACCGGCTTGCCCCCTCCCCTCCCTCAGCTTCCACAACAGGAGTCCCCCAACCCCCCCACCATGCTTCCCGCTTTCCCCAAAGCAGTTGTAGCCGTTATTGTGGCGGGACGTGTGCGTGTGTGTGCCCGCGCATTGTTTGGCAGGCAGGCCGCGCTGAGCAACCACAATGAACTCACAACACTTTACCATCAGCGCAAACGCAACGTGGCACGGGACCGCCCGCCCGGCCGAAGAAAACGTCAGCCGCCAAAGCGCGCCGCCACCAAAGCGAGCTGTTGTCTTTCTCTCTCTTACAGTGACTTCATGAGGTCGCTGGTCACCAACGTGGACTTTCGCTCCCTCGAAGTACGACTCTTCAAAGTCAAAGTAACAAACACATGGCCGCCAATTTTGGCCCGCCCTTCTCGGCAATATTGGCCGGCGCCACAACCCGACTGCAAAATGTGCCGATTAACCTGACCTGGCTGGTCATCTTGGCTTACCCGAGCCTTGGCTTACCAGGCATGCCTCGTCTCCACCTTGACTCGGCCGTTCTGACCTAGCCCGCATCGCGACTCGCAACCTTGGCCTGCTTTGCGCCTCGACCCCACTCGCCGTTGACCTAGTCTGCACCTCGAGTCAGCAAAAGTGTCTGATTCACTGATTGCGAGGGCATCCCCTGTGCGCGCGCCCCCCTTTGGTTCAATTGGAATGGAATTTAGGTCAGGGCTTTGGCTGGGTTGGGTCTTCTGTTTACGTTTTGGGCCAAGAGCTCCAAAATAAAATGAGTCGTCTGTAATGGGGGTGATGAATGACTGAATTTTGATTTGAAGATTTTTTTTTTCTTTCCTTCCTAAATGGTGATGCCTTCAACGGGGCTCCCGGGGAGAAGAACCACGGTGTCTGCTTTTCCCTTTTTGCAGATGAGCACTCCATCTCAAGAAAGAGCCACCTTGTTATCACGAAGCCACTCGCATTCACATCTGTCCCGCCAGCTCACAGGTAGCTTTGCGGCTTTGGAGTGGCCGAGCTGTCAGAGATAGCGTTGTTATGCTGCAACCTTTCCTGGGGGTGACATTGGCTAATTGCCAAGGTGGGGATTAGTTGCACCCCCAGCCGCCCACCTCCCACACACGCACGCACACGCAGTCCCTCTCTGCCTCCTCCTTCTCCTGGCCCTCCCCTCCCCTTCCCCAGCAATTATTCCCCAGCCTGCATTAAGTGTGCAAACAGGTGCACTCCAACAAGAGCGCAAACAGGCTGAGGTAATCTGACGCCCGCCCGACCGGCACACGTACATAACGACACACACACACACAATTACACAACAGCACACACACACGATTACACAACAGCACGCACACTTGCATGCAGAGGTGGCCATACTTTGAGTTGTCTCCCAACATGAATTCCACCTATTTAAGATTTAAAATATGAGCAAAAGAAGAAATGGCACATGTCCTTTTCATTCAGGTTATGCAATACTGTAGATAGTTTGTGGATTATAAATCAGACAGCTGCAAACAGAACGCGTATCTGGTTCAATGATTGGTTATATATTTGTTGAACGTCATAAAATACAGTCATCCATTTTATGCATCGGTGGAACATTTAAACAATTGGTGAGTCTAATTACAAATCCAATTTTATTACGTACAGATTTGTACTTTTTTTTTAACATCATCTGCAAACGTTTTACTTTAATAATGTTTTGTTTAATTATAGTCAATGTATGTAAGTATTGTAATTAAAAGGTCAAAAGGCATCTCGTTGAAAAATCTGGATGGTTATTGTAGATAAAATCTCTGAGGAAAGTTTTTTAAAATGACTTGTACACATTATTTGACCCCAAAAAAATGCACTTCAGCAAAAAATATATAAATAACTAAATAGAATTGAGTTCAGTGATGGCATTTTTTGTATGTATTTTGCGATTGTTTAATTCTCATGGACTTCATCATCGATAACACAATTAAGGAATGAGATTCCATTCTGTTAGGATTCAAAGCGATGCTTTTCCATCCACATTTTGACTTTGCTCTCGGAAATGACTTGGCCCATTTGATCCCTTTCAATAAGGCGCTTGAACATTGAAACGTCGACTTGTGTGTGTGCAAGGTGTTCATCTCAATTCTAATCAAGTGAGCAATTTGCAGCGCCTCTTCCTGTTCCTCCTGGGAGAGCAACGCGCGGAGGCGGGCGACCGGCGAGCTTTCATCAGCTCCGAGCAGCTGGCGCTGGAGCTGAAGACGCGTGGCGTCCGGCCGGCGCGGGAGGCGGCCATCGGGCGCCAGCTGCGAAGATTCCGCCTCTCGACCTGCTGGACTTCCTGGCCTACCTGCCGCTCTTCATGCTTATCCACACATCGGTGGTGGCCAACCCACTCGACGACGACGCGCGACTCGGACCAGGTAGGCGCCACGGAGGAGACAAGCGCATCCCTATCGGGGCCTTTCGTGGCCGTCGCTCAGTCACAAATCAGAAAGCCTTTGGATATGCCGTGCCAGCGGGTGTGCCCCATCCACTGTCCACAAAGATGAAATGAAAGACGATGGCGAAGCAAACCAAAAAACAAAGTCAGGCAAGGTTGCTGTCTGTGGTCCTGAAATGTCCTCAATCAGCAGCCTTCGCATGCCTCTGCAAATATCTCAACCTTGACTCAGCAATGTGGACCAAGTCTCAAGCTTGCCTATTTGTTCCCTGACTCAGCAATATTCTAACCCCCACCCCACCCCTTCCGACATTGCACCAAACAGGTTGCGTTGGACATGTGTGGACGGTGTGCTCTTATCATGCAAATGTGGCGATGCAACAATCGGTCTGCTATGAACAATGGGTCCATCAGCTGTTAGAGGGCCCCGCTGTCGCTCATTGGACCCTAACGCACTTTGACAGCCCACCGCGCGGGAACTTTGGCAAAAGTATCCATTAATTCTTCTTTGACAACTTGCTGACACTCGGCAGGCGTGTTGCATTCATGTGTCATCGGCAAAAGGACAATCTGTGTGCAATTCAGTCTGCTTGGGGGCTCTTTTTCTATTTTGTCTACCGGTGATTCTCTTTGTGGGAGAATTTCAGTCATTAGCTTGTCTCCGTTCTTACTGATTGGAAAAAAAAAATGAAGAAGCGCACTAGGCGCTTGTTTTTGGGCGGGAATTTGAACGGCGGCCGACTCGCGTGGCATGACGCTGCGTGGCAGCAGGCACACGCCAAAAGCCTCCTGTCCCCTCCCTCATCTGTCAAACTTGGTTTGGGCTGAAACCACACGCACGGACGCAACCCCCTTAAGCGCCCCCCTCCCTGCCCCGCACAGCACACGTTCTCCTCATTTTGATGCACCCACCCAAAAGGCCGTTTCATTCCACTTAATGCACACTTTTGTCGCGCCTCTGCCACATTTGCTTTTGACGCATGAATTCCGATTGATCCTGTACACATACATCCAATGAAGTGTCAAGTGTAAAATGTCGCACAAAATCCACAAACGGTAGCTTTCAGTCGCAAATCGTTTATTGTTGCACTGTGGAAAATATGCTTCTCGTTATTGTTATTATGAGGCTGACAATAATAAGAGTTTCCAACACCTCGCTGACGTGTTTGGACACTAGCTGCATAATAAGTTTTGATCATGGACAAAGTTGACACATTTAAATAAGACACGTCGGTGCTGCGTTGGGGGAAGGAATAACACAAGTGACACGTAATAGAATTATGTAAGCAAAATATATACAAAAATGATGTGTACAAAAAGGTCTATAAATCTCTTTACATAGAAAAATAGTTTCTGCATTTGCGACAGAGCACTGGAGAGAGATAGTTTCCTACAAATTGGAAGCTGTTGTGACAAAGGCTGATTGGATTGGATTCTTCTTCTTCTCATCCTTACGATTATTCTTCATCTTAAATAATGTGCTGCTCGTTTTTACGCGGACCCCCCAAAGTCAGTCTTGTGTGGGTTTTCCAGTCTTTTGTGGTCGTCGGCATTCCGAGTTGGGTGCTTCTTGAGCCTCCTCCGGGACCACCCGGGCTTGCAAACGGACTGGATTTTTTTTTTTTTTTTTTTTTTTTTTAAATTACAGTCCTGGGCGGAAGGAAAAGATGAGTCGGTTCTCATCTGAGGGAGAAGAGTCGGTCTGGGGAGTCTCAGTGTGTGGGTCAGCCCTTACCCGGCAGCAGGGGTTCAGAACCAGTTGGTGAAGTCGAGGAGTTCCTGCTCCTCCGGGCTGAGGGGGTCGTACGACACCTCGTCCGACGAGTAGGAGGACACGGGCGAGCCGGCCATGGAGTTCATATCGGCCGCCGGGTAGCCCTGCGCCATGCCGGGCGACGGCGCTTGCAGCACGCCCGCCTGGAAGGCGGCGCTGACGGCGTCGTGCTCGTCCAGCAGCTGCTGCAGCGCGCGGATGTATTCGACGGCCGAGCGCAGGGTCTCCACTTTGCTCATCTTCTTGTTGGCGGCGCCGTTGGGCACGTGCTCGCGCAGGGTGGCGAAGCCGTTGTTGACCAGCTTGACGCGGTTGCGCTCGCGCTCGTTGCGGCGCGCCACGGCGTGCGGCTGCTGCGGGGGCAGCGAGTAGCCGAACGCGGCGAAGTTGAGGCGGCGCTTGCAGCGGAGCAGCTCCGGGGACGACGAGCGGGGGCGCTTGGCGGCCGCCGCCGCTGCAGCCGCGGACTTGCCGCTCGGGCTCAGCGGGACGCTCTGCGCGCTGAATAAGCAGGCGGGGGGAGCGAGCTCCATGGTGCGCTCCGGAAAAAAAAAATTGGTTGTTAAATAAGACAAGGAAGTGAGGGCTGTCCCCCCCCTTCCCAAGAAAAAAAAAAGTTGAAAAGAAATCACTTTTCCCAAAAGTTTGCAATCACCAAAATGTAATTTGAAAAGAGCACGAATAAGAACATGCTGCGGGGTGAAAAAACAAAAAACGCATAAAAACCCCCACTTTTTTTTCCCCAAATGAATTACAATTTTCTCGGTGCGTGTCTCGCTCGTGCGGGTCACGTGGTATAGACGCGCGGGTCTCCGCTGTCTGTGCGTGCGTTGCGCGCTGCGCTGCCTTGCGAGGAGCGTGTGTGACCTGCAGCAGACAGTCGGCGGCCGCTTTTCAACGGCCGCCGACTGACGGCCAGCCGCGTGGCCACACCTTGGCTCCGCCCAGCGCGCCGGTGTGATGCGCGCGCCTGACGCGTGCCACTTGGAGCACTAAACAAACAGCTTCTCTCTCTGTGTGTGTGTGTGTGTGTATGTTCTTTTTGTATGTCTGCGTGACGAGGGAGAAAAAAAAAAAACAAGTGCACCGACGTTCATGAAGGTCCTATTATGCACATTGAGCGAATAGCTGAATACTAATGTACATGCAAACATAACCGATATTTGCTTTTCATTGGGAAAACAAAAGCAAAATATTTCCATGATCATTTCAAGCTCTCATTTCTATGCCGCTTTGAGTGCACCTTCTTTTTGATATTTTATTCACGTTTTAGGGGGGTGGGGGTTCACTTGTTTGCGCAAATCAAAGTCTGATTATTGTTCACATTTTAACGAGGTTGCTGACAAACAGTTCTTTATTGTTGTTTTATTACATTTTGCTCACGTCCACATAAAGGTAGGAAGGATCAGGACCTGTGGTGCTTGATGGAGGCTAACCACGTTTAGTCAAAGAAAATGTTTGGCTTTTTCTGTGTGTTTGAGTCATATTCTATCCAAACCACCATAAATAAGAAATGCCCGTAGAGTATTTTGAAAACACCAAATTGGAACTTTTTAGGCTGTATCATGCATGTCCTTTTTCAAAATGTTTGGTCAGTTTTTTATAATGACCGAATAGAATATCAAAGTTGTTATGATGAAAAAAAAAAAAACAGCACACCTGCAGATTTTGAACACTTGTTCCATGTTGCGCTTCAGATGTCATTTTTGGCTCTTTTAAAATGTGCTTGAGTCACGTTTCCATCATAAAAGTTACTTGTGTAACTTTCCAAAAAGAGTGCAACCCTTGGGTGTGTCGCAACGTGTTGATCCGCATTCAGATTTGATTTTGTCACGGAAACGGCAGCGATGGCTTGATTCTCATTCCGATTCTTTTTCATCTTTTTCTCCAGAGTGAAGAGCTGCGTCTTCTGCCGATTCTCTGGGCCCAAATGACCACTTTGATGGGAGCAGATCATCGTCTGTGCGAGGTGGGGCTACGCGGCCACGGTGGGGTTGTGGAGGGGTGTCTTTGTGTGCCCTCGGCTACACTTGATAGTGTTACAGTAGCGTCCGGCAGGCGCTGCGCTGCCTACGTTATTGTCGCTTTGGGAGAGCGCGACATAATAAGACTTGTCAGTCAGGCTGGGACAAAACACAGCAAAATGTAGCCTCGCCCCCTG